AATTTAATGTTGTTTTGTTGTTGTCGAGTTGCCTGTGACCCATAGTAACCCTATGTACAGCAACTCTGAACCCTGCTCTGTCCTGAGCCAGTTTTACTAATTCTGACACACCAACCCCCGTTGCCCCAGTTTACTCTGTCAATCCATTTCATCTGGAGTCTTTCTCTCCTGTGTTGTCCCTCCACCCTTCTGAGCATAATGCCCTTCTCCAAAAACCAGTCTCTGCTGGCCACGTGTCCAAAATATGTGAAATAGAGCTTAAAAATCCTAGCCTCCAAGGAGAAACTTGGTTTCACCCTCTCTAAAACAGACCTATTTGTTTTCTTGGCAGTCCATAACATGTTCAAGACTCTTCTCCAGAAATTCGAAGGCATCGATTCTTCTTCTTCTTCTGCCATTTTTAGTCATTGTTCAGCTCTCTGATGCATAGCAAGTAATTGTGAAGACCACGGCCTGCATTAGGTGCACCTTAGTCTCTAGACTGACGTCATTGCTTTTCAGTAGTCTGGAGAGGTCCCTGATAGCAGATTTTCCCACTGCAATTTGTCTCCTGATTTTCTAACTGCTGGTGTTAAGAGTGTTGATTGTGGAGTAGAGCAAGCTGTAATTGTTAACAACCTTGAGCTCTTCTCCATCTATCTGGTACTGCCAATTGGCCTAGTGGTGGGAATCTTTGTCTTCTTGATGTTGAGCTTCAATCCATATTGAACACTACGGTCCTTGATCTTCTTCGGCAAGCGCTTCAGGTCTTCTTCAATTTCAGCAAGCAATGTTGTGTGATGAATTATATAAAATACAGTGTATGATAATGATTGCATGAAACAATGCAAATGAAGGAAAATTTGAAACACAAGGTATTTGAATTTTGTATGCAAACCAGTATAAAACACTTCTTTTTTAAGAAAAGCATTTGCAATGTAAAACAAACCCCCCAAAAACCAAACAACTACCAACAATCCTACCCAGCAACTTGCTGTTTTTAGGTCCTGCAGAGTCTAGTATGACTCATAGCGACCCTTTGAACAATGAATCTGAACCCTGCCCTTTCCTGTGACATCCTTATCTGGCAGGTAGTTAAAGCTAACTGTAGTGAAATATGGTAAATTTACTGTGGAACAAAATTGAGCCCATGCCTTTGGGACTTTTCCAGATTTCTCTTTGCCCTTGCTTCCCTCCAGGATGGCAGCTGGGGAGCTGATAGTGGGAAAGTGCCTAGCAGGAAGGAGGCAGCTCTCAGGAAGGGCGACACACTCTTCTAAAATCATGCTGGTTCTTGATCAGCGTACTGGCTAGGCTGGTCCCAACCCTGTAGGTTCTTCTATTTTAATTTAAAGTTGATAAAAGTTCTGTTTTTCTTAGCTTGATCCATATATCTAGGGAGGCTTTACTGCTACTACAAGTCTTCTAAGTCAGTTAATTTCATGTTTTATTTTTTTATTCAGTGACAAAAATGAGTCTGGACCAAAGTTGAACAGCATGAGATGGTACTGGGATGTCCAAATGCTTCCCAGTCAACCTCTAGCCTTACTCCACTTAGCTTCTTCTCAGTTTGACAGACAAGGTGAGGGGGTGAGGGGAATTGGAAGAATCTGGTCTGAAAAACAATATATTCAAATTTTGTAAGTAAACTAGTATAATAAAAAATAAGCTAAGTAAAAAAAGAAATGTTGAATGCCCATTTAATTTATACCTACTCATGGGGGAAGCTTTTGTTTAGGAAACACCCAGATCATGAATCCCACAAAGTCAGTTCCTCAAGATTATCAACAAGTTATACTTCCTGATAAGTTGAATAAGTTGTTGTTATGTGCCGTCGAGTCGCCTGTGACTCATAGTGACCCTATATACAACAGCCCTAACCCCTGCTCTGTCCTTTGCCAATCTTATTGTCTCTGACACACCTACCCCCATTAACCCAGTCACTGTATCAGTCCATCTCATTGAGGGGTTTCCTCTTCTGCAGTGTCCCTCCACCATCCCAAGCATGATGTCCCTCTCCAAGGTCTGGTCCCTCCTTTCAACATTTTAAAGTATGTCAGACGAAGCTTCAGAATCCTTGCCTCCATGGAGCAACCTGGTCTCACCCTCTCCAGAATGAATCTGTTTGTTCTCTTAGCAGTCCATGGTGTATTCAAATCTCTTCTCCAACACCACAGCTCAAAGGCATCGATTCTCCTTCTATCATCCCTGGTCATTGTCCTGCTCTCTGATGCATAGCAAGTGATTGCAAAGACCATGGCCTAGATTAGGCATACCTTAGTCTCCTGGCTGACATCTTTACTCTTCAGTACTTTGGAGAGGTCTCTAACAGCAGACTTTCCCAATGTAGTACATCTTTTAATTTCCTGGCTCCTGGTGCCCAGAGTGTTGATTGTGGAGCCAAGCAAACTAATGCTACAAACAGTCTCAATCTCTTCACCATCTGGCATGATGCTGCCAATCAGCCCAGTGGTGAGAATCTTTGTTTTCTTGATGTTAAGTGTCAATCCATATTTAAAGTGGCAGTCCTTGACCTTCTGCAGTAGTTATTATCTATGCAAAGAAATTTGAAGGACAGTTAGTTGACCGCTCACTGACTATAAGAGATTCATATGTGGGTCCATTCCAAAGAAAGGTGATCCAGCAAAATGCAGAAATTACAGAGCATTATATCCAAAATTTTGCTGAAAAAATTAAAAATGGTTACACTACTACACTGACAGAGAGCTGCCAGAAAATAAATGAATTTAAGGTTATCTTTGCTGATATAAATTGCATCTTGGCTTAAAGCAGAGATTACATTGAAATTTACCTGTATTTTACAAATCATACTATATATCATGCTATATATTTTGTAATAAATTATGGATAACATTGTGAAAAATGGAAATTCCATAATATTTAATTAAGTTCATGCAGAATCTGCACATAAATCAAGAGGCAGTTGTTTGATAAGAACAAGGAAATACTATGTGATATGAAATCAGGATAAGTGTATGTCATGATTATACCTTTTTTAACATACTTGGTCAGTCTTTACGCTTGGCAAATAATCCCAGAATCTGAACTACATGAAGAAAAACATGGTGTCAAGATTGGAGAAAGATCTGTTGACAAATTGATATTTAGATGACATAGCCTTGCTTACTGACAGATAAGAATACTTGAAGCACTTACTGATGAAGTTTAAAGATTATAGAATTACATCACAACACCAAGAAAACAAAAATCTCACAACTGAGCAAATAAGCAAAATGGTAATAAAGGAAGAAATTATTGAAGATGTCAATTGTTTCAATTTTTTGGATTCAGAATCAATACTCATGGAGGTAAGAGTCAAGAAAAAAAATGGCATATTATACTGGACATCTTGAAGTAAAAGATCTCTCAAAATTCTTAAAAGCAAGGGTATTCCTTTGAAGATTAAAGTATGCTTCATCCAAGCTATGATATTAACAAATGCCTTATATGCATACATCTAAGTGCTGGACAAAGAATAAGAAAGATTGGAGAAGAATAGACACCTTTGCAGTAGGGTGTGTTCACTGTCAGGAGAATGAACAAATTCATTGTAAGAAGCACTTCTAGAATTCTTTAGAAGGGAATATGGCAAAACTTCATCTCCTGTACTTTGGGCATGTAATCAAAAGGGAGCAGTCCCTGAAAAAGGACATTCTATTTTCCAGTAGATTAATATTTCAGTCTAAAACATGATTCCACCTCCCAACCCCCACTTCAGTTCTTTCTGCTTGAGGAGTGGTGAGCAGGTCGCTTCCTTTTGGTTGTCTAATTATTGGTTTTTGCATATTTAATTATACAAATTATGCAAATACAAGATAATTATTGGTAATGAGAACGCAAAAGTTGGAAATATAAAAAGATCAGTATATGGAGAAATATGACCTTAGTTATAGAGCTTTGCAAGATCAACAATCCAGTATTCGTCAGAAATAGAAATAATTCTTTTTCAACAACATAGGTGGTAACTATGTCCCATACACAGGGACCTTGCCAGAGAGGGTACACAGTAATTTAACTGGCTACATCTGGAAAAAGAGTTAATAGAGAACAGGACAAGGATCCAATTGTGGAACATATTATCAAATGCTTAAATTCAAGTTCAAATTGAAATGAAGGCAAATGAAAAATGTTATTAAAAGTCAAAGTATGTATGGCCTTCAATATATCTCACCTGAATTGAGAGACAATCTCAAGAAAACATTTGCTACATTGAACACTAATGACAGAATATCAGGTGAGTTGGGGGATAACATCAAAGACCTTGTACATGAAGAAAGCAAAAGGTCATGGGGAAAAAAGACAGGAAAGGGAAAAAAGTTCAAAATCTATAACAAAAGATACTCTGACTTTTTTTTACATAGAGCAGCTAAAATGAATGGAACAAATGAAGAAGTAAAAGAACTGAACAGATTATTTCAAAGGGTGTCTCAAGTAAAGAACTAGAAATGAAAATTACCAAATCTAGGCCAGGGTAAATTATATGCTTCATTAATACATGTACTTGATCTGATTACTGAAGTGCAAGCCACTGAACCACCTAGTACCCTGCAGAGAGATGTTCTAAAATCCCCACATGACTCATATGCCTTCATCTGGCCCTCTGTCTCTAGCTTCCTCAGTTTCTGTATACTCACTCCATTGCTGCTGATTTGAGCATCAATTTTTGTGCTGATTGACCTTGCCAAAACTGATCATTACAAATGTCTCTGAGATTTTGCCATGGTCTTAACTCAGGTATAGTAACGCTGATGACATTGATAGCATAACCTAGAACTAAAACTGACCCTACAATTCTGAAACAGGTCCCTAAAGTCTCTTGGTAGTTTTCTTATTTCTTATTATGTCAGGAAGGATTCAGGAGAGCAAGAAACTTTGTGATGTTTAAACACTTAGCTTTTTAGTTAAGGGTAGAATATGTTGTAGCTTAAGCTATACTTCTAAATGGCCTCTCATCTGTTGCATCATTTTATTATATTCTCATAATATTTTTTTCTTTACAGATTTCATGTGTTCCATGAAGATCACTTGGTATATCTTGGTGCTATTAGTTTTTATACTGATAGTCATCTTCATTACTCTTAAAATACGCGAAGGCCATTGGAGAGTACAAAAATGGCAACGTAAGTGTTTGGAACTAAAGCCATCATTTGAGACAGTCTATTTAGTTTCAAGGGAATCTTAATTTTAACCATGAGTGTAATCCACCTGAGTACATCCAGCACCTACTCAGCAAGGCCCACTTGTCTGTTAGTGAACATTGGCTTCGTGCTTGAGTGGTGAACAAATTTCAGTGCAATGTCTAGACAAAGATGCGCTAAGAATAAAGACTGACACGTATTTCTGTAACATCAACTAAGAAAACCCAAGCCCCAAACAAAACAATCCTTGTTGTTGTTGTTATGCGCCATCGAGTCGTTTGTGACTCATAGCGACCTTATGTACAACACCCCGAAACTCCGCTCTGTCCTGTGCCAATCACACTGTCTCTGACACTCCCATCCCAATTATCCCAGTCACTGAATCAATCCACCTCACAGAGGGCCTTCCTCTCCTGCGCTGTCCCTCCACCCTCCCAAGCATGAAGTCCCTCTCCAGGGACCGGCCCCTCCTCACAACATGTCCAAAGTATGTTAGACGGAGCCTCAGAATCCTTGCCTCCAAGGAGCCACTCGGTTTAACTCTTTCCAGGACAAATCTGTTTGTTTTCCTAGCAGTCCGTGGTATTCTCAATACTCTTCTCCAGCACCACAGCTCAAAGGCATCAATTCTCCTTCTGTCCTGCTTGGTCATTGTCCAACTCTCTGATGCATAACAGGTGATTGCGAAGACCATGGCCTGTATCAGACACACCTTAGTCTCCAAAGAGACACCATTGCTCCTCAGTACTTTGGAGAGGTCCCTAACAGCAGACTTTCCCATGGCAATGCGCCTTTTAATTTGCTGGCTACTGGTGCCAAGAGTGTTGACTATGGAGCCAAGCAAACTAAAGCTGTGTACAATCTCAATCTCTTCACCATCCATCCTGATGCTGCCAATTGGTCCAGTAATGAGAATCTTTGTCTTCTTGACATTGAGCCTCAATCCATATTGAAAACAATCCTATAGATCACAATAATTCAGTCCCTTTGTGCATAAGGTTGTCATGCTGTGGAAGTAGACTCAATGACACAATGGCACCTAACAACAACGCTGTGTGTTGGTGCTAATTCTAAGCACCTTAAGTGATAGAGGCATAAGTAAGACATAGTGCCAACATCCAGGGAGCTCCATGTGTCTCTCTAGTGCTCAGGCAAGTGGCTTAGGAAGAAAAGAAAGAATAGATGAGTAGGAAGGAGCAAAGAACTGGATGTTGAGATGTGGTGAAACAAAGGCTCAGAACAGTAGTGGTGATACAGAGTGTCAGAGTTGAGAATGTTAAGCAGGAGTGGTTCTAAGTGATGAACAAGACTGGAGAAAATCTTTAATCATTGTAGGAGTGTTAACAGATTGATGGAAGGTTGGGCTAAAGTGTGTAATTGTAAATCAGATATGACTAGGGAAGAGTTACAAAGTCGCATTCAGACGACAGAGACTCAAAGTAGAGTCACCCTAGTCAGAAGCAGATTGAGTAAATTTTTCAGGACCTTTAACTTGCTGGTGTGGCATGACTCAAAGTGAGAAGAAACAGCTACAAGTATTCATTAACATTAAAACCTGAAATGTGCAAAGACTGAATCTGTGAAAATTGGAAATTCTCAAAATGTAAATGGAATGCCTAAAGGTTGATATCCTAGACACTAGTGAACTGAAATGGACTGGTGTTAGTAATATCCCCACTGTTCTAGAAATGAGAAATTGAAATGTAATGGTGTCACATTCATTATCAAAAAAGAACTTTTTAGCATCTATGCTGAATACGATACTGCCACAGACAAGATAATATCCATATATCTGCAAGGAAGATAGTTAATATGACTATTACTCAATTTTATACACCAATCACTGAGGCCAAAGAAGAAATTGAAGGTTTTTTACTAACTTCTGTAGTCTAGAAATGATCATACGTGCAATCATGATGAGTTGATAATTACTGGTAGCTGGAATGTGAAAGCAGGAGGATCAATAATTGAAAAATAGTGTTTAGTTGATAGAAATAGTACTGAGTTTGTATGATAGACTTTTGCACTACTAACAACCGATTCATCTGTTGCTAATTTCCTGATTCCTCTCTCTCTCTCTCTCTCTCTCTCTCTCTCTCCATCTCTATATGTCATTTCCAACCGACAATTTCTACAATGCCTATAATATAACCTCTGGGAGCTATGGTGGCCTAGTGGTAAGAAGCTGTGCTGTAGTTCCAAAGGCATATGGTTCAAAATTCACCTGCTGCTCTGCAGAAGGATGGGCAATCTCCTTCCATGCAGTTAACTGCTTCTGAAAACCCACTGGAAGATCAGCTTTGGGTCAGTTATGACTCAATAGCACACAGCAACAACTGATTCTCACTGAATCTTTGGAAAGAACGTTATATACGTGGGCCTTGTCAGATGGAACACAGAAGAATCCAATCAATTACATCTGTGGAAAGGGAGAGACGGTGGGGAAGAAATCATATCTAATCAATAAGAAAAAGATCAGAGGCTGATTTCCATGCAGACCATCATTTGCTTCTATGCTAGTTCAAGTTGAAGCTGAAGGAAAAGAATCCACTAAAACGAAAGTATAATAGTGAGTATATCCCACATTAACCTAGAGACCATTGCAAGAATAGATTTGACCCCTAGGAGTTTAATGATCAGAAATTAGATGAGTTGTGGGATGACATCAGACACAAAATATGCAAAATGTCATTAAAAAAGAAAATCAAGAAAGGAAAAAGCCCAAGTGAATGTTTAAGAAATTCTAAAACTTGTTCTAAATGTAAAGCAGCTAAAGTGAATTGAAGAGACGACAAAGTCAAAGAGCTGAACTGACAATTTCAGAGGGTGGCTTGAGAAGGCAATGTGAAGTATTGTAATGAGTGTTGAAGGACTTGGAGTTAGAAAAACCTGAGGAGAGAACAAGCTCAATATTCCTCAAGAAGAAAAAAAATTAAGTCTTCAGTCATCATATAGAGGGATTCTATGGCCAAAATATTGAATGATGAAAGAAATGTAAGAAGAAAATTGAAGAAATACACAGTCACTGTAACAAAAGGAATTGGTAAATGTGTGAATATATCAAGAGATAGCAGATTATCAAGAACTAGTGGAACAGATGGAAAAAATTTCAAGATGCACTGAAGACATTAGTGAAAAAATAGGGTTTTAGGGATTGATGAATACCAACTAAGATTCTGAAGCAAACAGAAGTGCTGAATGTGTCCACTCTTCTATGCCAAGACATTTGAAAGACAGTTACTGATCTCAAAGATAAAAAGATCCACATTTCTTCCTGTTGGAAATAAAAGTGATTCAACGGAATGTAGAAATTACCAAACAACATCAACATATCATGTGCAAGTAAAATCTTGCTGAGGAAATTATTAACAAATGTTACAGCAGCAACATCAATAGAAAAATGTCAGAAATTCAAGCTGGATTCAAACAAAGACACAGAAAAAGGGATATTGTTGCTGCTGTCTGATCGTGACTAAAAGCAGAGAATGTTGTTGTTGTTAGGTGGCATCGAGTTGAGTATGACTCATAGTGACCCTACGTAGAAAAGATCTGAAACCAGTTCTGTCCTGCACTATCCTCATACTTCCTGACACACAAAGCCCATTGTAGCAGTCACCATGTCAGTCCACCTCGTTGAAGGTCTTCCTCTCCTTCACTAACCCTCCACCCTTCCCAGCATCCTGTCTCTCTCCAAGGACTAGCATCTCCTAGCAATATGTCCAAAATATGTTAGGTGAAGCCTCACCATTCTTGCTTCCTAAGATCACTCTGGCTGCACCCTCTCTAAGACATATCTATTTGGTAGAAGTTTGACTGTGATCATAACAAATGATGGATCAGGTTGCAAAGGATGAGAATTCCAGAATTCTTACTTCTGTTCATGTATAATACACACAAAGATTAAGAGGCAGTTGTTATAGCCAAACATGGGATACTGAAAAATCAATAAAGTTGTGTTTTGCAGTTTTATCATATTTACTCAACATGTGTTCTGTGCAAGGAACTGAACTATATGAAGAATAATGTGCCATTAAAATTGAATGATCAGTTCTGCATATAGACTGAAAAGACGTTGAGACAGAATATATCCCTGGCATTTCTAGATCCATCCTGAAATACAATGTGGTGAGTGACAGGATAATATCCATATGCATACAAGGAAGTTCAGT